TTATTGTTATTGTAATGAATGATTTAAGAAATAAACGATTTTCAAAAAAAAAAAAAGTTTATTTTGCGATATCGCATTTCAAATAAAGTCAGAAAAAAATAAAAACGATTTCGGCAAAATTTGGTTTTTCATGGATATCTTTGGAATCATTCGAGATTTTCAAAATATCAAAACATATCTCAGGCGGCGGTCTGATATGTAGACGAGAATATGGAGAGTAACTTGAAAGACGCATCACGTAACGTCACGTTTTGGAAAATTTCGTTACACGAGAGACGAGAGAAAGGAAGATATAACGTAGACTGTAGAGAAAAGGTGAAAGCGAGCCAATGACAATGACAGATGAGCAACGATTGACACAAACCAAGGATTATAAGTAGAGAGGATTGCCTATTATTGTCAAGCAGTTATACCCTTGTGACGTCACTATAGATGCTCGTCTCCCTTTTGTGTGGCTCTTCGTATTTACCCCGACTCATGTGCTAAGTCTAAAAGCTCTATGAGGGAGGGTATAGTTTTTAAAAAGTTTCACTTCTCAATACGTGTATAATGCTACACATGATTTTTTTGAAGTGAATAAAGCATTCGGCACACGACAGACGAGAGAGAAGAAAGATATAACGTGGAGAGACGGAGAAAGACAGCCGACGAACGATTGACACAAACCAAGGATTATAAACAAAGAAGATTGCCTATTATTGTTAAGCGCCGATGCACTTGTAACGTCACTACAGATACGCGTTTTTTTTTTTGTGTAGCCTTTCGTCTTTATACCCCGACTCATGCGCTTTGTGTCTAAAAGTTGTATGAGGAAGGAAATAGTTTTTAATATTATTTTTTTTAATGTTTCAATAAAGTTGGGAAAATTAGGAATGTCACCCCCCCCCCCCCCCCCCAAACCAGAAGCCTTCGCTACGTCCCTGATAGTAGCAGTGTCGATCAGTGAGGGTTTCTATAACTTTGATGCTAGTTGGGTTTATTCGTGAAATATTTCGTAAGTTTTTCTTGTCGTGTAATGCCTAGTACTCATAACTGCGAAATTCGCATTTTTTTGACATTGCTTCGACAATTTGACGTTTGATACACGCATTAAGCCTAGTCTCCATGGACGCGAAATCGCGAATTTTTTTTTGCGGATATTTTCCGATTGGTTGGAATTTGACATTTAACATTTGATTTTTTTATGGCGGGAAAAATTCGCGAATTTTTTAACTTCTTGCGGCGTCGCAAAAAAGTTAACTATTTTTTAACTTTCCGCGAAATTTCGCCAAAAAAAAATGAGGTTATGTGGTGTTACTTTCAGTTTAGTTTTGTTTATGTTTTTGTCGGTATGTGCGCTGTTCTCTGAGTCGTTGATGTGTTTTGTACTTGTAGATACCTAATAAAGAATGGATACTGCCAAAGAATTGAATATTGTAGACCCGAAAACAGACATAAATTACAGCTTGCTGGTTGATGAGGAAGATTATAATAGGGCCTTATATGTAATTAAGACAACACCAAGACACATATCTTTTTTTGTTTTTTAGTAATCACTTTCATGGTTTTCAAAGATTAGTGTTTGAAATTCAAAGCATTTAAATCGAATTCAAATTGATTACAAACAACAACACATAGGTAACCTTAACCTGTTAAATAAAACGCGAATTTCGCGCTTATGGAGACATGGGAATAATTTGCTCGGAAATAGCCACCAAAAAATGACACTTAAAAAATTCGCTTTCCGCGATTTCGCGTCTATGGAGACTAGGCTTTAAACGTCAAATTGTCAACGCAATGTCAAAAAAATGCGAATTTCGCAGTTATGAGTACTAGGCTTAAAACAGGAAAATTTGACTTACGAAATATTTCGGCAACAATTTCGTAAGTGGATGCTACATACAGGATTTTTTGTTTTGTTTTTGTTGCTCCCTGACAACATATGACGTTTTGGGAAGTCTCGTTAATTATATTTACCTAATACCATAGACTTAAATACTACGAATAGACGTCCAGTGGAAATAGCAGCACAAAAAATGCCTCAATAATTCATAAGATGGCGCCACTCGTATTAAAAATTCAAAGAAAACTGTGCTAGCACCCTTGTGTACGAGCAGCGTGTCATTGTTCCCAGGACAACCGCATTCCGCCTTTTATCTGATGTTTCGGTGTTGTCAAATTTATACGGACAAAAAACTAGACAAAGAATTCTCTTTGCTATTTGCGACTTTCGAAGAAATAAATTATTGCTTGGATTTCAAAGAACTAATTTTCAAAATCCATTTCAAAAAAAAATCCATTTCAGCTTTCACTAGAAATAGAAAACTTATATTTAGTATAAGATGCAGTAATAAAAAAAATTGGTGTCTTAATGTATGGCTTGGCCTATTTAATGATTTTGGACTAGTTATTTTAGAACTATTTGCAACAGCGTAACGCGCGAATTTGAATTATGACAGAAATGCGCGCCATCTCGTATCTAGCATCTAAAATACCAAAGCCTGAATTGAATTTGGAGGCTCGCTTTCGATAGCGAGCCTCCAAATAGCGTCGCAGATTTTTACCATTTGACTGGACGTCTATTCGTAGTATTTAAGTCTATGCTAATACCTACACAGGTTTTATTAATTGGAATACGTGTTGAAATCGATCTCCGCCATTTAACGTGATGAGTGCGACAAAAACAGGCATTCCCTAGGCATCACGTTCGTCATTAAGTATACGCATTCCAGTTCTTGGTTATAGTTCATTGGTTCCAAATATCGGAATGAGATTCGCCAAGGATAATACACTCTACTACTACAAGATAGCTGATCCTCATAAGGCCTGCGCCTGTGTAGTTCAAATCACAAGTCTCCCACCATGCCAAAGCACCAGTAATAATGTAGAATCTTGTCGTTTCTCGCCAAGATTCCTAAAGTTAATAGGTTGTCTGGTAACAAGGTTGTTTGAGAGAGGTAGGTTGCCTGATAACTTTATGACGTCATCTGTGGGACCTCAAAATAATGCAAATCTCCATAAGGCACCGCAGATGCGTCATCAGAGCCGCTTTCCAGTTGACCATTTTGAGCACGCAATCGAGATTTCGCGCGCGCCAATGCTTCAAGCGCGTGTTCTTGTTCCAGCCGTACTGCGCTTCGAGAGCTGCTAACTTTTGCATTTCAAACACACTGTGCTGCACCGTGATTTAAGCACAAACACAATCAGCTGGAAAGCGGCTCATGGCTGGGATCACGACAAGTAGAATACTACTTTCATGACGTCACCCACGACCTATAAATCGCGTACACTACAGGCGATGATGAGGGTTGCTATGCAACCTGATGTCATGAAAGTAGAATTCTACTTGTCGTGATCCCAGCCCAGGTTATTCATTACCAGACAACCAATGAACTTTAGAAATCTTGCTCGGTATTTTGTTGAGGCACCCCAGATGGCGTCACATAAAGTTATCAGGCAACCTACCTGTCTCAAACAACTTGGTTTCTCGCCTTGACGTAGGGTGCTTGCATTGCAACACAGGTTATGATTCCGCGGGCGTTCGCTTTATGCATACTTGATTTTACTACATTAATTAACATCATTCTAAGATACAGTACTGGCAGATAGTTGGTATCGGAACATAGCCAATATCAGACACCGCCCCCCCCCCCCCCCGTCGTTGCCACGCTTTTCCCTCTCGTAAATCTGGCAACCCTATTCTAAATCAATTTTTTTTTAGATCTCGTTTAATCACAATTAAATAATATATATCATCATAAATTTAAATTCTAAACTACGGCCGCCGCCACAAACAGCTGACGTCGGCAATGGTGCCACACCAATATGGCCGCGATTACTAAAAACTAGGCCGATAAACAATCCTTAGTAGTGTGTATTATCCTTGATCCGCCAGGCCGCCTACAGAGCCGCTTTCCAGTATGGGAGTGTGACGCAGAGCTACTCGGGCGTTGAGCCCCCGAGCTGTACGTACGCGTCAACCTATCAGCTGTCACATCCGCGGGTGGCTATTTATCTATTTATTTCATGTTATATCTCAAGATTGAACATTTTATACTGGAACGGTACAAATCTAGTGCGTGGCGCCCCCGAGGTGCTCTAGAGCGCGCCAGAGCGCGCCAATGTGCATACTGGAAAGCGGCTCAGGAAAGCTGAGGCTGAGCATCTCTCACTGTACTGTGGTCGGTGATCGATTCGCATCGCATGTGCAGTTCGTCGTTCCTCGTTCGCGGATCACTATATTCATATTCTGAATTTTTAGTTAGAGCTCTTCGTTGGAGGTTCGACTAGAATCAGCGCCAGTTCCGGATTTTGAACCAATTCTCCGTCCTCCGGTTTGAGATATTAAAAACGGCCCTAACACAACTTGATTCAAGAAATTCAAGACAAAATAATGCGTGGTGCGGAGTTTTGATGAGGGTATATCCACGATTGGGTGGTAGAGCTCCGAGTTTTCGTTTCCGTTCCGAAATCGTTCCCGGTAAAATGAAATGAAATGAAGAATATTCTATGCCATTGAAAAAAGATTTAACATTTTCGGCTCTACTGCTCCCAGAGCGCTCCCCGTCGGCGAAGTCGTCACAGATCTTGCGGGAGTGCCGAGCGAGAGCACTGATCCGAGAGCGATTAAAATCCAAACGGGTACATCATTTGATTTGAAATCAATAGCCGAACGTACTTTCGGTGAGTTCGGCTATTCAGCGCGTAGTTGGAGTGGAGTGAACAGAGCTAATGGAGTCACCCCTGATACCGTAAAAATCAATACCCGAACCTTAACCCGAACGGCTGGAGTGCGAATGGAGTCACTCCGAGTGCACGGAGTGAGCAAGCCGAACTCACCCTTTATCGTTTTGATCAAATCTTTGATCTATCGAATTTGACAGAGCAAGAAAGAGCGCACCGTGCGAGATTTGAGAGCGTTCTATTGCTCAAGTCGAACACGGGAATCTCGCCGAAAGCAACGCTCCGTTTTAAGCCGAACATGTGAATCCGAATCGGTTTCCGTTTCCAGTGTCATTTTTGACATTGACAGTTGGTTAGGTTGGTGGCACTTGTTCCTGTTTCTTTTCTCTTTGATTTTGATTGCGAAGCAACATGGTAAGTGCATATTTTTATAATGATATTTTAGGTATTTTAGTTAACAATCCACTTATTTATCGTTTTTAATTGGAATCACTGTTTTAAACTAATTCTCAAGCACATCAAGAATACCTTCTAGATTCAAAAACACTTAATTTTTTGAGGTTAGAAATCGGTGGCATGCCCCATTTTCCTCGTGTTCACAATGATGAGAATCTCTTTTGCAAGACAATCTTCGTGGTTGCAAAATCTGATTTAATGAGTCTGAATTAACCTATTGAATAATATGCACCTAAATATTTTACTTTTGTAGTACTAATTAAATATTTCAATTACTTTAAGCCTCCAAAGAAGGATTCGAAATCCTCGGCTAAACAGCCACAAAAAACCCAAAAGAAAAAGGAAGGATCTGGCGGTGGTAAAGCCAAGAAGAAGAAGTGGTCCAAAGGAAAAGTTCGTGACAAGTTGAACAATCAAGTCCTGTTCGATAAGGCTACTTATGAAAAACTATACAAAGAAGTACCATCATACAAATTGATTACTCCTTCTGTTGTATCAGAAAGGTTGAAGGTCCGTGGTTCTTTGGCTAGAAGAGCACTAATCGAATTGCAACAAAAAGGTAAGAATTTTAATTATTTTTGCTACAATGTTTGTTTCTTATAACCAATAATTTAAAAATTGGGTCAAGTTTGGTTTGATTTGAATTCATCAAAAGTGATTTGTTATTATTGGTAAAATAAAATGTACATGACAAATCTGGTTTGCATAATATCTATGAGGCTCTCTATATTATTGTATACTGAATTTTCTACCAGAAATTATCCAATCACTATGTGAAAACAGCTTCACTTTGGACAATGCCTACAAATTCATTGCAATAATAATTGACATCCCAATTTTATACATGATGTAAACCTTTTCACTCAAGACAATCTTTGTGGTTGTTAAATCTGATTTAATGAGTCTGATTTTAACCATATATTAAAAAAATTACAATGTTTCTTTTTATGGTGTGCTAAACACATTTTTTTTTTTGCTATTGTAGGACTCATCAAACAAGTTGTCCAACACAGGGCACAGCTCATCTACACCAGGACGACCAAGGGCGATGATCCAGCTGCTTAAATTTTAAGATATGCTGTATCTTTTCTTTAATATAAGGGAAAAAATTTAATTTGTGCTCCAGTATTATTTCAATTAATTTATTGGTTAGTTTTTCATCTGTTAGGTATTCTTGGATTCAACAACAATTTGTACAAAAACTAAGGGTAAACTTGTAGTTTTACATGAATGCTAAAATAATAGCATCTCAAATGAACTAAAAATATCTTCAGAAAATTTGCATTTCTTGCTTTATTTGGAATAATTCTTTAAAGACAAATGGTTCCTGTTCCTAACTTATTGCATTAGCTACCAAAATATCCATAAGGATTTAACTAAAACAGCAAAAAAAACTTATTACAAGAGTAGGTTAAACAAAGCAAAAATCAAACAAAGGGAAAGTTGGAGGAGCATAAATATTATATGGCAGGGACTTTATTCTTGAACCCGAAGAATAGCATTCTCATGAGAACGATTGCTCTGTCATTGTCAGTGTTATGGAAGTATGAATACGGACGACGAAGACAGAACCTTTGTTCTCATGAGAACGCTGCTCCCCCTGTTTCGAGAATAGAGTCCCAGAGGTCAAAAAGAGCACATGAAATGAATATTGATGATGAGTTAAATAAATTTCATTGCAGCGTTGCCAATATTCTAACCAAGGATATTCTACAGTGGTTAAATAAACCTTTACATACAGTGGCGACAATAGAGCGAGCCGCCATTTTGTGCCCAACCTCATTCCACCTTCAAACAGGGTTGGCAAAAACCCGGGTTTTTGAAAATTTGTATTGGGTTTTTGTGTTTTTGCCTTCCACATAAGCTCAAACTCAGAACTCCACTTGAATTTGCATATACAGGGAAAACAGTCCACCCCAATTTTTTCGATTTGAAATGAAAATCTGGAAAAACGCTTGGACACGTCGATTTTTGATTTGAGGGGGAGCTATTTTTCAGTTTTTTTCATCCCCGTAGCTTCAAGCCCTAGCTGGGGGGAAACAACCCCCCAAATTTGAATAGGGGATAGGGGTCGTGTCCTCGTGTCATACCTCTTTTTAAAGGTCTCATCATTCTTTATGACCCTAGAATTTCGTCTCATTTATATGTAACGTAATGACAGCTTGTCAAAATCTTGGAAATAGACTTTTGTTTTAGTAGGAGTAAAAGTGGTTACCTCCCTTAATGAAAATACTTACAATTTACAATTCACATGTACACCTCATCAATAATAATAATAAACTTCAATTTCAACTATTTTTATTAAGGGAGGTAAGTATCGCTTTTACTTCCACTAAAACAATAGTCTATTTCCAAGATTTTGACAAGCTGTCATTTCGTTACGGATGAAAATAATAAGACGAAATTCTAGGGCCATAAAGAACTCGATGAGACCTTTAAAAAGAGGTACCTACGATCCCCTATTCAAATTTGGGGGGTTGTTTCCCCCCAGCTAGGGGGTTGAAGCTACGGGGATGAAAAAAACTGAAAAATAGTTCCCCCTCAAATCAAAAATCGACGTGTCTGGCAAGTGGTAACTTGATAAGAGACGAAAGCGGGAATGGTACAGGCAATATGCAGTTGGGGGTAGAACAAATTAGAAACAAGCTATTTTTTTTTTAATGTGTAGGAAAAAGGGTCCTATTCAACATACTAAAAGTCTCATCCAATCCCAACATGATAAATCTGAAGAAAAAAAAATCCGCCATTTTTATTTTTTGATTTTTACTGAATAACTTTTTTATTGATGCATTTTGGGAAAATTGTGTTGATACTTTATTTACAGGGCTTAAAAAGGCGCATATTTTGGTATAAAACTATAAAATAACTATTTGTAGCCTAGAAAATAAAAAAGTTACACACTTTTGAAATGATCAGGTACCTAGGTACCTAAAAAATATTAAAAATTTTGATTTGCAAAGTGTTTGATTCACATATTCTGTGTTTCAAAAACAAAAAAGCTTAACATGAGGTAATTGGAAGAAACACTTATAAAAAGTCAATAATTTCCTCCTTTTCCCCTTTTCTATTTCAAATACAGCATTGGTACAAATCAATCCATAGCAATGACCACACTTTGGGGAATACCTAATGCCCAAATTTTTACATAAATAATTACGTCCACATACACTCTATTTGCAGTTACAAAAAAGTTGATTACCCAAATTGAGTGGTGCTATTTCTTGTTTCGTTTTGTTTGGAATCAGGTCACCTCTGTCCCTTTTTATCCAGCCCCATGCTGCAGGATCCAGCCGATTACCCAGCGATTCTTTAACTTTATTATTCAAAATTTAAACTAAATACCTAAGTTATTCATTTTTAAATGCTTTCTATTGATTTAGGATTTACCTGATGATAAACTCTCAGTAGATATTGTTCTGAAGCTTTTTCTGTACAAGGGAGCATGACTAAATTTAACTGACCTGAGAGTACCTGCCTATTATTGAAGTGATTCTATGATACAAAGTTCATTCAGGCTTGGCTTGAGGTAGTTTTGGCATTACTTTGGCACAACTTATTGAGTAAAAATTCTATACCGACGAATTTTTGGTTGCAAGGCATGTTCCACATAAAATGAATAAGTAAGTCCTTGAAACAATTGAGGATTCTTTCTTAGAACAGACGAAGAGACAGACATGTCTTACTTCAGTTAAAGAGAAACGACGTTGTGTCGCATCTCGAAACTGCATGTAAAAGTGCTAGCTTCGTAAATTATCAACATATGAAATACCTAGGAAAAATTATTTTTTTTTGGGACGGGAACAAAGTAGGCTTTTTGTACCTTTTGACAGGGACAAAAATGTCACTTTCTCTCCCATGGGAAAAAAGTGATTTATTTTTTCCCAAGGGAAAAAAGTAATAGGTACCATCGTCACCAAAAGTATCTGGGACACAAATAATGCATAATAATCTCCTGGATTAATTCTACTGTCATTCATTTCAATGCATTTGATTCATAGTTTGACAAATATTTGACAATAAAATTCATATAATAGGACAAGAGCTAATGTGATGCTGTCCCAGTTACTTTTGGTGACGATGGTACAGGGTGTTTGTTTATAACTGGAACACTCAGTAACTTTTTTATTATTGAAAACAAAGGGCATGTTTAAATTGGAAAATTTCTGGGTAAATTCCAATGACCTTAATCGCTACAACGATTTTTTTTTTGTCGCCATAGGTATACAGGGTGCGTCAAAAAAGTGTTTTTTCAAATGGAACGCCCTGTATATTTTTGCATTTTTAAAATTCTTAGAAAATTAGCTTCACAAAAATATCAAACACTATTTGGATAACAAAAATATACAGGGCGTTCCATTGAAAAAAAAAAACCTTTTTGGAGCACTCATACCTATGACGACAAAAAAATATCGTTGTAGCGCTTAAGGTTGCAATTCGCCAAGAAATTTCCCAACTTAAACATGCCCTTTATTTGCAATAATGAGAAAGTTACTGAGTGTTCCAGTTATAAACAAACACCCTGTACCTACCAACTAGTCAATTTTTTTTCCCAAGGGGAAAAAGTAACAGGTACAAGTCAAATTTTTTTCCCAGCGGGAAAAAAGTTCCAAGAACGATCACAGTAAAAAAAAGAGTATATAAATGGGAAAAAAGTGAGATTTTCAGTCACAGAAAAAAAAAGTGTATTATAGATGGGAAAAAAGTAAGATTTTAGCGCTTGCTGTGTTGTCTCCCTCCGCTTCGCAACGGGAGGCAAACCACACCTCGCGCTAATATCTAGTACTTTTTTCCCTTGTATAACAAATAACCATTACTGCTGTATCGATATGGTTATGGAAAAAAAATTGGTGCACTTATGTATTTTTCACTGCTCAACAAAAAATGTCGATATTCAAAAAACAGGAAAATTCAAGATGGCAGCCATTTTTTTCATACTTGGCAAAATCCTACCAAATGCCCAAATGGGACTGTATGTTATACTACTAGTCATTAGTTGTATTCCTTTCACCCCTAGGAGAAGCTCCGGAGCGTTACGCCCTTATTCCTTTCGAAAAGTGACGTTTGTTGCACCACACATCTATTCCTTTCAAATCGGGGGCGACAAACACCGGAGCGAGTAGCTTTAGTGTTTTAAACTCTTGAAAGGAATACAACTTATAAACTGTGTTTTTTTTTTAAAGATAAAAGTCAAAATGACATTATGTTGGCAATACAATGTAAAATTGTCAATGCCTCCAAATTTTTTATGTAGAAAAGGCTTGTGTTGCCAACATAGTCACTAAATTTTTGACTTGGGGAATTATCTTTAAAAAAAAAAACAGGCTTTAGAGAGTAGAGCTCAGAACTCGGGTACGGTACAGAGCGAGGAGCCACACTCGACTTGTAATCCATAATCCATATTGTACTAGATTTATGAGAGAGGTTTTAGGTCTGTTCCCACAGGAGTCTCTGACAGTTTGCAACTTGTCAGAAACAATCGCTCAGCTGAGTTACAGATTTATCTTGTAACGACAGCATTGAAAACATGTATGGGCGATGCTTACTGACAGTTTGCAAACTGTCAGAGACTCCTGTGGGAACAGACCTACTAGCGTACTAGGTGAAACGTGATTGTGCCAGATCTAGTACAATTGTACTAGAATAGCATCCCTGACGTAAAGACATAACCTGAAATTAGGAGCAAGGATATTAGACCTCTCGTCCGCTAACTAAGCCAACATCTACGTCATCAATTGTCAAATTTCAAAATGACCAAAAATGGGCGCGAAATTCAAATATTCAAATTTAAATTCCTACAAAAAGACAAAAACTAAAGCCAAAAAATTTAGTTTAATACCAAAAATTTTTCGCCTAAGGCGCTATTTTAGCCTGCGGTGCTGTCCCTCTTAATTTGACCCACCTGTAAAAAAACTCAGGAGCCGCGCCATGGCCATTTGCATGGCTATCACTTAAGAGATATTTAATCTAAAGCTGGGTACGCATATGAGCATAAACTCGAATGAGGCAATCCGAGGTCGAACCACTTGCCTCGGATTCGGGAAGAAATAACAGGGGCGTGCCGAGTTTCTTGGGGCCCTCCCGCGAGATTTTCATTGGGGGCCCTGAACAGTTTCGGTGAAAATAAAAGTAAACAAAATATAACATAAAAAAATGTATTAAAGTGTTGCCGGTGTGAGCAAAATTCTGGTGCGTTGATGCTCATATGCATACCCAGCTTAAGTGGAGCTTTGAATGTGACTTTTGTTTCTACAAGAGTCACATTCAATGCTCCACTTGGATTAAATAGAGAGTTCTCGTGCTGTCCAAATTTCAAATACCGTAACGTTATATGACAAGTATGACAGTTCTTACGGTATTAGCGTTAGCGGAGCCCGCTACCTAATGGGAGTTAGCGGATGCCTTACCGTAACGCTATGCTTTGTCAAAATTAGTTTACGCTCCATTTACGTCTGCAAGAACAGCAACTTCGAATAATTCTTCCATAAAGGCCGTTTTACAGCTTGATTGTATCTGCAATATGCAAGAAACTTGAACGAGGGCATGCGCAGAAGTGTGTCAGCTGATTGGTTTCTGCAAGATTCTTGAAACTTGAATGGCATTGCATGCAATCGGTTTGGTGCCATTTTTCTTGAAGGTTTTCGTGCAAGCTGGGGAATTTTTAGCAATTATGATGCTTAAATTTTAAGTTGCTGCTATTGCTTTCTTCTTTTTATATCGACTTATAATCACTTTTTTTATTTTTGGATAATGCAAACATCAACAACACAGCATTAAAAACAAAAAAGTATGGTAAAGGTTAGAGAAGGAAACAAGTCAAATTGCAAGGTGTAGAAGTGCAAGAAATCTTGAATGCAATTTTTTTGCATGCAAAAAATTGCATTCAAGTTGTAAAACGGCCTTAAAAACACCAAGGGAAAATTAATCAAACTCAGGAATCTTCAGGGCAAATAAAAGTGGGCAAACAAGCAAAAAAAAGTTAGCTTAGATCACTCAATTCAGCTGTCAAAATGTAAACAGAATAATGGATTAGAGGATTTTTGTATCTTCGTGTCCGAGAACTATAAAATACCATTCAAAATACCGTATTGTTAGCGGTACCGCATTAGCGTAGCGTCTGAATCACGAGAACTTTCTAATATCCCTTAAGTTATAACGGTGCAAATGGCCGATAAAATAAAATGAAAATAAGAAGAGCAGTTGCGGAACTGAATTGGACTCGGGGCAAAAAGTGCCGCACTAATTACTAATTTCCCAATAGAATCCAAAAACGTGCACTGAAAATACTGAAATAGCCAATGGTTGGAAAAAAATTGCACACCTGACATCATACTAGTTGGGCCAATGTAATTTGCTATAAGAGATCGCGGTCACGGTCACATGGATCTATTCGAATTTTGAATTCTTTGCACAAATTTTAGGTTTTGCGCGGAGTCCAGAAGATAGTACGGTTTCCAGCATTTCAGCTGTGGGACAAAGACGAACAGTGAAAGCTGACAGAGCCGCTTTCCCTGTATGGTAGTGTGACGCTCGGAGCTACTCAGACCGTTGAGCTCGCTGTACGTACGCGTCAACCTGTCAGCTGTCACATTCGTGGGTGGCTATTTATTTATTTATTTCTTGTTATATCTCGGGATTGACCATTTTCAAAATATAGTTTTGATTCTCTTTCATTTTTGATAAGTAAAAAAACAAATTGTACAAGCAAACAGATAATTATTTTTTTATTACGCATGCATCATAATCAACGATTATCGCACGCTGCAGCGTGCATAAAATGATATGTTTATGATGCGTCTACCTTTTAAAAGGTTTGCTATAGAAACGTTCGATCTACCTTCATTACCTAGATATTTACCTGCATACCTGCCATTTAAATTACTACTTATCAAAATGAATGAACACTTAAAACATTTTTGAGATTATGATGCATTCGTAATAAAAAATAGCGTATGATATGCGTGTATAAGAGGGCATTTAAAGCCCTTGCGACTTACAAAACACTCCGCTGCGCGTCGTGTTTTGTCGCGCGTGCTTTAAATGCCCTCTTATACACTTATATCATAATATACTATTAAAATATGACATATTTGACACTAAAACGCGTCTCACGCCATGATACTGGAACGGTGCAAATCTAGTGCGTGGCGCCCCGGAGGTGCTCTAGAGCGCGCTAGAGCGTGCCAATGTGCATACTGGAAAGCGGCCCAGGTTGACGCGTACGTACAGCTCGGGAGCTCAACGCTCCGAGCGACATACTCCCATCCATAGTGGAAAGCAGCTTTGTGGTTCCACCGTTCAAGAAGTTGTCAGCTATCGAAAAACCCTTGAAATGCTCCGCCCTCTTGTTTTTGACATTTGGACGCCGACCGAAGCCGGAAAACTTTTAAATGTCAATTATTTTTTTTAGCTGCACTTGTCTTGAGTGAACATCCACCGTTTGTATATCCTCATCCTCTCTTTAGTTTTGTTTAGTCCTAATTTTCTCGTTTTGTGGTGATCGTGGCGTCCCATTTATTAATTTATAAAAATTCTCGTTCGTTCAATATTGTATTAGTGTGTCGGTGGTGATTTAAACTATAAGGTAAGTGTGAAACAGAAGCGAATAGGATTAGCCGATTGTTCAGTGGCGGTAGCGATTGCTACGTGGCCCGTTTTTGTTTTTATTTTATCTTTGCAGTTTTGTTCCCGAAATTTCCATTTGGGGTTTCCCCAATTTTGTTTCAATTCTTCAATGTCATATGAAGGCAAAACAGTCCATAATCTTCCAATTACTGTTAAGAACCTTATTAAAGCAATACGTACAATCTTCGTGAGCAATTAATCTCTTTCTACAGGGTAATGTCCTACTGTACCTTGAAGCATAAATAACAAGTATTATTAAATAGCAGATATATTGGTCTCTCTTTTGAAATATGCTATGGACAGGAATATCAATAATTCTCAGCGGCAGGTCGTAGAGCTTCTACATACAAAACTGTTTTCCGTTACTGTAATAATGAGATAAACTCAGCTCAGTAGAAACATAGAGTCTACAAACAAAAGTAAAGTAATTTTTTAAAGTACGTAGAAGTAAGAAGTACACATTTTGTGCTACAATTTTCGAATTTTCCAAAATAATAACTTAGCCTCTAGAATCTAGAATTATTCTTTTTTTAAATCCAGTCGCCCTACAACGTGAACTATACCTACTCTGTTTCATTGCAGTTGATAGCTCGATACCTTCATTATAGATGCAAAACAGTGTTTGGGTGTATCAACAAATTTTAACTTTCTTTCATTAAATACATAGTGGTAATGGTAAGTATAGTATTTTGGAAATTATAGCCCAGGCTACCCTATAAAATTCAAAAGAAAAGCTCAAAGTCTTCCTCCTTTGACTTTGAGCTTTTCTTTTGAATTAAATTTCAACTCCTCTTTGAGATATACTGGGTGCCCACTAGATTACTTTCCGGCTGCCATTTTTTTTATTTGTCTATCGATATCAACGAAACTTGGTAGGGTTGAAAAATGATATTCCAACTAAACGCCATTTTTATGCATCTATGACAAGTTTTCCTGACTTCCAGTTTCCCGGAAATGAACGGAACTTTAGATTTTTGAATGGCACACCCTGTATATTTTCTGTTTTCTACAGATTGTTTTATGTCCCAATGTACCACTTTTAAATCGAGTTTTGTCCAAATTTTGTTTATACATTAAATTTTAATTTTTTAATTAGAGTGCCATGATCACCTCAAAATGACTCACATACTTTACCCTCGACGTCACCTAATTCCAGAAAACACAAATTCAATTTTATCTTTGTTAACTTTTTCGATAGAGGGCTGTAAACTTCATGATTTTAGTATTTTTGCCCTAGCTCAAAAACTGGAATAGAAACATATCACTTTCATAACATTACTAATGCAGTATTTTAAAGTGAATCCAACGATGTAATACACTACGACATTTTTCTCCATTTTTGTTCACATTTTTGTTTTATTATGTAGGTAATTTTTTTTTTTTCTACTCAAGATTTGAAAATGAAATTTGAGGTCTAGAAAATTAGCACAACGAAAATGGCACACATCAGAAAAACTAGAGTACTAAATTCGGGCCTATTTAGTGCTAATTTAGTATGAAAAAAAAAATATAATAACTCTATTTTTTAAAAAATTACGTGCATGTGTGCCAGCTTAAGATTAAGCTGGCACACTCTGGTTGGATAAGGTCGAATCTTTGAAAATTTAGAACCTCATATTTAGTGCTAATTTGGTACATTCATGGCACGCCTAAAAAACTAACAATTTTCAATTTCAATTTCAAATAAGCTTTATTGTCTCAATTTAAAAAAAATTATTGACAAAGCAGTTTCTAAACTAAAAAATATCAAAATTCAACAAAAATATCAAAAACATAGAAATGAACAATTGTACAAAGGTTAAAATAAAAATAAAAATAAAAATAACAGTAAGAATAAAAATAGAAATAAAAACAAAGACAAGAGAAGCCAACAATCAGAGGGAGCCGACACCACATTGAAGTATGTCGTTAAAGTATTCTTCAATGTCATAATAGGCCTTCCCCTCCAGCAATTTTACAATACCTCTACGAAATAATTTTGCATTCGATATCTCTTTCAAGTCGGTTGGTAGATGATTATATATTTTAAGGCTTTTGTAAATTAAAGAATTTTTGGTCAAACTAGATCTGGGAACTGGTAGAGGGAGCCTGCCCGACTGCCTTGTTGTACGGACTCCAGATACCGCCCCTCCATACTTTTTATGAACCAAACAAACAGTTTCCAAAATAAATAAACAAGTTAACGTTAAAATTTTTGAAGAAAGAAACAGGGGACGGCAATGTTCACATTGTTTTTTATTATGAAGATAACGGATGGCACGCTTTTGAAGAACGAATGCTGAGTGAAAGGCGTAACCTGGGCAAAACCCCCAAAAGGCCACCCCATAACGTAAAACAGAGTCCACCAGGGAGAAATACACCATTCTTGCCAGTGAATACCCCAACTCTGAAGTAGTCATTCTCACAGCAAAGCAGGCAGAAGCCAGTCGAGCTTTCAATCGCTCTATGTGCTCAATAAATTTTAAGTTCTTGTCGACAATTATTCCTAGAAATTTTACACTAGAGGAACAACCTATTGTTTGCGTCTCCAAATTTATGGGATCAACAGACAATCCAAAGGAAAGAATGTTTGTTTTGGAGATATTAAAACACAGTTGGTTGCTGTCACACCACTGCTTCATGGAAACAATATCTCAGTCATCGCCTCATGCAGAGTGGATCTAGGACAGCGCCACAGAGCAGTAGTATCATCCGCAAACCGCGTAAACATACAACTAAGAGGCAAGGAAACAAGATCCTCTACATAAATTGAAAACAGTAAAGGTCCCAAAACTGATCCTTGCGGGACTCCTTTAGGATTTAATAGAGGTTTAGAATATGTACTTCTACTACCCACGACCTGAAAACGATCAGACAGCATTGACAGGATCAGTTCACTCGAACGTCCCCGGAAGCCGTATCGCTCCAGTTTTTGCAGCAATATACCGTGACTCACACAATCGAAGGCTTTCGAAAAGTCACAGAATACTGCCGCCACAGAGTCCGATCTAGAATTGAGCCCCAGATAAACCTCCTCTAAAAGATTAAAAATTGCGTCCCCAGTGCTCATACTCCTTCTGAAACCAAATTGTGTATTAGTAATTATTTTATGCTTTTCCAGATGTTCAAGCATTCTGGATTTCAATGATGTATTTATTACGAAATAACCACGGAAAAGTGCTAACTTAAGACTTGAATTAGCACACATACTTCGAATTGACCGCGCGAGAACGGAATTCGCAAGCACATATTTAGTGCTTCAAAAACGACGACCTAAAACGAACTAGTATCACAACAGCACAGAGCTAACCCAAAATAACCCGAACTAACCGAAACTAACCCGAACTAACCCAAACTAACGTCTAAAATTAGCACTAAATGTTTGCTAATTTACTACTCTAGTTTCATCGCGTCATCAGTAATAATGTTTGTTAACTTAAACACTAAGCCAGCACACAAGTGCTAACTCTGTGCTGATGTGATACTAATTCGTTTCGGGTCGTCGTTTCTGAAGTACTAAATTAGCACTAAATATGCGCATGCGAATTCCGTTCCCGCGCGGTCGATTCGATGTATGTGTGCTAATTCAAGTCTTACGTTAGCACTTTTCCGGGGTTATTTCGTAATAAATACAAAAGAAATACCTTTTGAAGTAATTAATTATGACTATGATGGTGAATGTGTTTTAATTAAGGTAAATTATAAGAATTTTATTTTATATATCTCTGTTGTCTATATAGTTCCTAATAGCAGTGTAGAAGTCTATGAGTCCTATTTTAATATTTTTGAAGAACTGATGTTGTAGGAAAATAGTAATTTACTGTTACTTGGCGACTTCAACCTGCCACATCTTCAAAGTGATATCAACTGTGATAAGAGTATTATTGTGCAGCAGTTCCTGAATATGTATGATATGCAACAGTATAATGGCGTGGGTAACAGTATGAATAGGTTTTTGGACATGATTTTGTCGAATCTGACAGTTTTTAATGTTGGTAGGTCCGACAGTCCTTTAATTGTCGAGGATGACTATCATCCAGCACTAACTTTTAATTTGAATATTGATAAACCACAACCTGAAAAAAGGCACGTTAAAAGATTTAGATTTGATTACTCGAAAGGAGATTTTATATTGTTATACAAACTTTTTGAACAATGTGATTGGGCTGACCTGCTGGCATGTTCAGATGTCGATAAATGTATAGATGTTTTTTACGGTAAGATGTACAGTTTTATAAATGCTTCAATTCCACAAGTTGAGGTAAGGGAGCACAGCTCGGCGGCTAAATTTCCATCTTGGTACTCCATTGATCTAGTTAAAAGCATTAGAAAGAAAAACCGCTTACATTCTTTAGTACATAAAAAAATGGCCACTCCTGATGAGTGCAGCATGTATCAGAAACTTAGAAAAAATGTGAAATCTCAAATTAGGAATGAATATAAATTACATAACCAGAACATTGAACAAAATATATCTAATGATCCGATTAACTTTTGGGGATTTTTACGCGGTAAAAAGGGTCTTAGTGGATTGCCAAACAAGATGGAGTTTGGTACTGAGCTTTTTGAAGGTCCTGAAAATGTTGCGAATGCCTTTGCTCATTTTTTTAGCTCTGTATATGAGAAATGCAATACTCGAGATACTGTCACAAAAGCTGAACGATGGGGCTCATTCAAATTTTCAGTCATAACTGAAGCTGATGTTAGAAATAGCATAAAAAATCTTAAACCCAAAAAAGCTACAGGGCCTGATGAAATACCATCAGTTTTATATAAAGGATATGTTGATTTTTTAATTAAACCACTAGTTTTTATGTTCAATCTAGCAATTGAACAAAACAATTTTCCACATCTATTAAAAGTGGCTGTAATTACCCCTATATATAAAAGTGATAAGAAAAATAGTATTGAAAATTATAGGCCTATAAGCTTATTGAATGGCATAGCCAAAATATTTGAAAATATTCTCTATATCAACCT